AACTTCTTCCATTTTCTAATAATTGCGCCAACAGTTGTTGCCTTCTCACCAAGCTGCTTGCCTATTGTCCTGTAGCCCATCCCAGCCTTGTGCAGGTCTACAATGTTATCCCTGATGTCCTTACACAGCTCTCTGGTCTTGGCCATTGTGGAGAGGTTGGAGTCTGTTTGATTGAGTGTGTGGACAGGTGTCTTTTATACAGGTGACAAGTTCAAACAGGTGCAGTTAATACAGGTAATGAGTGGAGAACAGGAGGGCTTCTTAAAGAAAAACTAACAGGTCTGTGAGAGCCGGAATTCTTACTGGTTGATAGGTGATCAAATACTTATGTCATGCAATAAAATGCAAATTAATTACTTAAAAATCATACAATGTGATTTTCTGGATTTTTGTTTTAGATTCCGTCTCTCACAGTTGAAATGTACCTATGATAAAAATTACAGACCTCTACATGCTTTGTAAGTAGGAAAACCTGCAAAATCGACAGTGTATCAAATACTTGTTCTCCCCACTGTACATGCTTTGCAAAAAGAACGATTTCCCTAATAATCCTGTTTCCATGGACACATCCGAAATCAGGCTACCTGATGGTGCTCTGATAAATGCAGAACATCGGCAATCAAAATTAACGTTCTACCACAGCGACCATGTTATTTTTTTGAGATTCATATTTGATTCAGAGATCGGACATCTAAAGTTTGTATGTGAAAACTACTTCCAAGAGGCATACATTCAGTTGTTCCGAACACACTTCACTCGCGCTGAAGAGGTAGGCTTGCTCGGCTGGTGCTATCACACAGGCTATGCCAGGGATGGCCAACTTTAATGGGGGTGGGGGCCACAAAAAAACGGAACTCATCATGAGAGCCCCCCCCCCCCTCCCCTCCCCCACATTGCGAGCAAAACAAGAGAAACATTTACGTTTTAAAGTTAATTTCCTGCAATTCTGCACATTTTGCCATGGGGCGTACAAAAAATGTTGCCATTTTAAAGCACGTTTGCTGCAATTCTACACATTTTCCATGGGGCGGAGAAAATATTGAGCAATTCTACACATTTTGCCATAGGGTGGAAGCAAATGTTTGCAGTTTTTAATATGATAACTGATGATCAATGGGCCCCACCCAGGTCGGTAATTCAACCCATGCTTACTACAAGTTTAGATAGCTGGCAGCTAGAGTAACCTATCAAATTAAAATGTTTTTGCTGACATGGGCTAATTTGCACACACTCGCTACATTTGCACACACTGAATATATATTTTCTGTTGTATTTTTTTGACTTTATGTTTTTTTACCCCATATGTAACTCTGTGTTGTTGTTTTTATCGCACTGCTTTGCTTTATCTTGGCCAGGTCGCAGTTGTAAATGAGAACTTGTTCTCAACTGGCTTACCTGGTTAAATAAAGGTGAAATAAAAAAATAAAAAATAAATTGAGTGGCTGTTGATGCACAACCACATTATGAAATTGCACCTTGTCTACTCCATTAAGTTAAGTAAGTTGAGACCGATTGTTATTATTTTTTTAATTGGTCCGCGGGCCTTCAAAAAGGTGAGGCTGCCAGTTGCCCATCCATCCTTGGGCTACGCAGATCAAATACACCGCTGGAACAGCATAGGTGCGTGAATTGGACCCCCACTGCTGTCCTGCCTGAGCATTCGAAATGTAACGAGTACTTTTGGGTGTCAGGGTGAAATGTAATGGGAGTAAAAAGTACAATATTTTCTTCAGGAATGTAGTGAAGTAAAAGTAGTCAAAAATATAAATAGTAGAGTACAGATGCCCCCAAAATTCTCCTGAAGTTGTACGTCAATGTATTTTTACTTACGCACATCACTGCCAAATGGCTGTGGTTGCCATGAGGACGAAAAGGGACAACCAGCACCATTTCAATCTACTCGATGGAGCAGGGTGGATTAAAGGTACAGTGGCACATCCCATCCCATCCAGCAGATCCGACCCGCTTGCCTACAGCTGCACTCGGGTCTGACAGCACGACTGTGTAGATCCAGACACCGTGGGATACGGCTCAGAAAACGTACCTCAATCCAGGGATGACAAATGCGTTGTACTCCCAATGGTCCCATTATCCCAACTGTTACACTGAGAAGATTGAACGACCGGTAGTTTTTCCCCAGAAAGCTGACCTTTTCGTCCTCAAGCTAGGTAGCAGAAGCCACATAAGCCATTTTTGAAATGGCGCCAGAGAGTCCGTTGAATCAGGCTCTGTGCGGACTACGTCGTTGGAAATGTCAAAATAATGGCTTAGTATACACTGAATGTACAAAACATTAGGAACACCTGCTTTTTCCATGACCGACTGACCAGGTGAAAGCTATGATCCCTTATTGATGTCACTTGTTAAATCCACTTAAATCAGTGTAGATGATTTTTAAGCCTTGAGATATGAATTGTGTATGTGTGCCATTCAGAGGTTGAACGGGCACGACAAAAGATTTACTGTAAAATAGCTAATTAATTCACAGTGACAAATTCCTAACATCCAGTTGCAGGGGGTCCGTTTGAATTTAGAAAATGCTCCGTAATTGTTTTGCTCCATGAAGTGATCCAACAATGTGTACGCCGCCATCTTGTCTATTTCAAGTCCTCTCTCATCGAGACAGGTGGGTCCACCAAAGATGGTTTGTAAGACTCCGCTGCCTGCGCCACAGAAATCGCGACTAGACGACCAACCAACCGCAACATTGCAACTATTAGCCAACACTCCACTTCGATGTTCTTCTGATTAGGCACGCCTGAGCGCCAGTCTGTGCTATCATGCCAAATCCTTGTCACTCATTATGGTATTTAGCGGCTCTGGTCCATGGCGTTACATGCGGCCTGCATGAGCCCGTCGCCTTGCGCACTGCCACACATGTAACGCCATGGACCAGAGCTAGGTACAGTAATTAGCGACAAAAAAAAATATTTTGCTTGTCTACAAAGATATTTGGAATGCAGCTATATCCTGGGAGGGCTTGTAATGCATACCTGTTTCCTAGTTGTTCAACGTCATCACCAAGCGAACGTCATCACCAAGCGAACGTCATCACCAAGCGAACGTCATCACCAAGCGAACGTCATCACCAAGCGAACGTCATCACCAAGCGAACGTTCATCACCAAGCGAACGTCATCACCAAGTGTGAGAATAAAAGCGGCATTTCAAGACTGATAAAATGGGGAGTTTTATTTATGTAACAAAGCCATTTACAGCAACAAAATAACAAGTGTTACAATAATAATCGGCCATAATAAATACACTCCATTAAATCAACTGTAAATGTATTTGAGTTAGTCTCTCTTTTTCCATCAACAGATCTGTACAATACAAAGTTCATGTTGGTGACATCACCGTCTTGTCTGTCCACCAACCAATCAGGAAACAGAAGTGCAAGTACTTGTAGGTATTACTGTATCTGAATAAGGACTATTTTCCTGTAGTCATGTGATGTGCGTATATTTACTGTTTAAGTTGACATGGGGGAGTAAATAAGTACAGTAAATACTGTACAAGTACTTACTATTGTATAAGTAAATAAGTACTTATAAGTACTTAAAAAGGTTAATAAGGTCGGTTTGCAAGAAAAGGAGGGAGGGAGAGGGAGGGAGACATGGTGGGAGAGGGAGGGAGACATGGTGGGAAGGACATGTGTGGGAGATGACATGGTGGAGAATTGACTGGTGAGAGACATGGTGGAGAAAGAAGGGAGACATGGTGGAAGACATGTGGGTAGAGGAGGAGTACATGGGGAGAGACATGGTGAAGAGAGCAATAGGTGGGAAGAAGGAGGAGGGAGACATGGTGGGAGAGACATGGTGGGGAGAGACATGGTGGGAGAGACATGGTGGAGAGGTAGGGAGAACATGGTGGGAGAGACATGGTGGGAGAGACATGGTGGGAGAGAGAGGAGACATGTGGGAGAGACATGGTGGGAGAGGGAGGGAGACATGGTGGAGAGACATGGTGGGAGAGACATGGTGGGAGAGAGACATGGTGGGAGAGACATGGTGGGAGAGACATGGTGGGAGAGACATGTGGGAGAGGGAGGGAGACATGGTGGGAGAGACATGGTGGGAGAGGGAGGGAGAGGGAGGAAGACATGGTGGGAGAGACATGGTGGGAGAGGGAGGGAGACATGGTTGGAGAGACATGGTGGGAGAGACATGGTGGGAGAGACATGGTGGGAGAGGGAGGGAGACATGGTGGGAGAGACATGGTGGGAGAGACATGGTGGGAGAGGGAGGGAGGGAGAACATGGTGGGAGAGACATGGTGGGAGAGGGAGGGAGACATGGTGGGAGAGACATGGTGGGAGAGACATGGTGGGAGAGACATGGTGGGAGAGGGAGGGAGACATGGTGGGAGAGACATGGTGGGAGAGGGAGGGAGAGGGAGGGAGACCATGGTGGGAGAGACATGGTGGAGAGGGAGGAAGAATGGTGGGAGAGACATGGTGGGAGAGAACATGGTGGGAGAACATGGTGGGAGAGAATGGTGGGAGAGACATGGTGGGGAGAGACATGGTGGGAGGACATGGTGGGAGAGACATGGTGGGAGAGGGAGAGAGAAAGACATGGTGGGAGAGACATGGTGGGAGAGACATGGTGGGAGAGACATGGTGGGAGAGACATGGTGGGAGAGACTGGTGGGAAGAATGGGGGAGAGAACCTGGTGGGTAGAGAAACATGGTTGGGGAGACCTGGTGGAGAGACATGGTGGGAGAGGAACATGGTGGGAGAGACATTGGTGGGAGAGACATGGTGGGAGGAGACATGGTGGGAGAGACATGGTGGGAGAGGGAGGGAGACATGGTGGGAGCGGACATGGGTGGGAGAGGGTAGGGAGGACATGGTTGGAGAGACATGGTTGGAGAGGGAGGGAGACATGGTGGGAGAGGGAGGGAGGACATGGTTGGAGGACATGGTGGAGAGGGGGGGAGACATGGGTTGGACAGGGGAGGGTATCACCTTGGTTTGGAGAGGGGAATGGGTGGGGGGGAAGAGGGAGGGCTACATTGGTATGTTTACCATATTCAAGACCTTCTTGGACTGAGAAGATGATTTCCCTTTGATCTGAGGTACACTGTGGTCCTCCAGGATCTTAGCGTATGGCATTGGGATGTCTACACCAGTCACTCTGACAGCAGGGGCGTCCAGGTAGTTGAAGGCTGGCCCTGGAAACAGGACAGATGGATCATCATTAACATAAACCTGAGAATGACTTGTATACATTTCATGCTTTTTAAAAATTGTTAACTCTTACAAAACACTTTCCCCATGCATGCATTCCCATGTACAGTGCATTTCGGAAAGTATTCAGACCCCTTGACTTATTCCACATTTTGTTACGTTACAGCCTTATTCTAAAATTGATTAAATGTTGTATTTTTCTCTCTTCAATCTACACACAATAATGACAAAGCAAAAACACGTTTGCAAATGTATTAACAATAAAAAAACGGAAATATCACAAATAAATATATTTTACGTAAGTGTTCAGACCCTTTACTCAGTACTTTGTCGAAGCACCTTCGCCAGCGATTACAGCCTCAAGTCTTCTTGGGTATGACGCTACAAGCTTGGCACACCTGTATTTGGGGAGTTTCTCCCATTCTTCTCTGCATATCCTCTCAAGCTCTGTCAGATTGGATGGGGAGCGTCGCTGCACAGCTATTTTCAGGTCTCTCCAGAGATGTTCGATCAGGTTCAAGTCCGGGCTCTGGTTGGGCCACTCTAGGACATTCAGAGACTTGTCCTGAAGCCACTCCTGCGTTGTCTTGGCTGTGTGCTTAGGGTCGTCGTCCTGTTGGAAGGTGAACCTTCGCCCCAGTCTGAGGTTCTGAGCGCTCTGGAGCAGGTTTTCATCAAGGATCTCTCTGTACTTTGCTCCATTCATCTTTCCCTCGATCCTAAATAGTCTCCCAGTCCCTGCTGCTGAAAAACATCCCCACAGCATGATGCTGCCACCACCATGCTTCACCGTATGGATGGTGCCAGGTTTCCTCCAGACGTGACACTTGGCATTCAAGCCAAAGAGCTCAATCTTGGTTTCATCAGACCAGATAATCTTGTTTCTCATGGTCTGAAAGTCCTTTAGGTGCCTTTTGGCAAACTCCAAGCGAGCTGTCATGTGCCTTTTACTGAGGAGTGGCTTCCGTCTGGCCACTCTACCATAAAGGCCTGATTGGTGGAGTGCTGCAGAGATGGTTGTCCTTCTGGAAGGTTCTCCCATCTCCACAGAGGAACTCTAGAGCTCTGTCAGTGACCATCAAGTTCTTGGTCACATCCCTGACCAAGGCCCTTCTCCCCCGATTGCGCAGTTTGGCCGGGCGGCCAGCTCTAGGAAGAGTCTTGGTAGTTCCAAACCTCTTCCATTTAAGAATGGCCACTGTGTTCTTGGGGACCTTCAATGTTGCAGATATTTTTTGGTACCCTTCACCAGATCTGTGCCTCGACACAATCCTGTCTCGGAGCTCCACGGAGAATTCCTTCGACCTCATGGCTTGGTTCTTGCTCTGACATGCACCGTCAACTGTGGGACCTTATATAGACAGGTGTGTGCCTTTCCAAATAATGTCCAATCAATTGAATTGACCACAGGTGGACTCCAATCAAGTTGTAGAAACATCTGAAGGATGATCAATGGAAACAGGATGCACTGGAGCTCAATTTCAAGTCTCATAGCAAAGGGTCTGAATGCTTATGTAAATAAGGTATCTGTTTTATTTTTAATACATTTACAACAACTTCTAAAAACCAGTTTTTTCTTTGTCAATATGGGGTATTGTGTGAAGATAGATAAGGGAAAAAAATGATTTAATCAATTTTAGAATAAGGCTGTAACATAAAATGTGGAAAAGGGAAGTGGTCTGAATACTTATAAACTCAGCAAAAAAAACAACGTCCTCTCACTGTCAACTGCGTTTATTTTCAGCAAACTTAACATGTGTAAATATTTGTTTGAACATAAGATTCAACAACAGACAAACTGAACAAGTTCCACAGACATGTGACTAACAGAAATTGAATAATGTGTCCCTGAACAAAGGGGGGGTCAAAATCAAAAGTAACAGTCAGTATCTGGTGTGGCCACCAGCTGCATTAAGCACTGCAGTGCATCTCCTCCTCATGGACTGCACCAGATTTGCCAGTTCTTGCTGTGAGATGTTACCCCACTCTTTCACCAAGGCACCTGCAAGTTCCCAGACATTTCTGGGGGGAATGGCCCTAGCCCTCACCCTCCGATCCAACAGGTCCCAGACATGCTCAATGGGATTGAGATCCGGGCTCTTCGCTGGCCATGGCAGAACACTGACATTCCTGTCTTGCAGGAAATCACGCACAGAACGAGCAGTATGGCTGGTGGCATTGTCATGCTGGAGGGTCATGTCAGGATGAGCCGGCAGGAAGGGTATCACATGACAGCGTCGAGATTGCCTGCAATGACAACAAGCTCAGTCCGATGATGCTGTGACATACCGCCCCAGACCATGATGGACCCTCCACCTCCAAATCGATCCCGCTCCAGAGTACAGGCCTCGGTGTAACGCTCATTCCTTTGACGATAAACGAGAATCCGACCATCACCATAGACAAAATCGTGACTCGTCAGTGAAGAGCACTTTTTGCCAGTCCTGTCTGGTCCAGCGATGGTGGGTTTGTGCCCATAGGTGACGTTGTTGCCGGTGATGTCTGGTGAGGACCTGCCTTACAACAGGCCTACAAGCCCTCAGTCCAGCCTCTCTCAGCCTATAGCGGACAGTCTGAGCACTGTTGGAGGGATTGTGTGTTTCTGGTGTAACTCGGGCAGTTGTTGTTGCCATCCTGTACCTGTCCCGCAGGTGTGATGTTCGGATGTACCAATCCTTTGCAGGTGTTGTTACACGTGGTCTGCCACTACGAGGACGATCAGCTGTCCGTCCTGTCTCCCTGTAGCAATGTCTTAGGCATCTCACAGTACGGACATTGCAACATATTGCCCTGGCCACATCTGCAGTCCTCATGCCTCCTTGCAACATGCCTAAGGCACGTTCACGCAGATGAGCAGGGACCCTGGGCGTCTTTCTTTTGGTGTTTTTCAGAGTCAGTAGAAAGGCCTCTTTAGTGCCCTAAGTTTTCATAACTGTGACCATAATTGCCTACCGTCTGTAAGCTGTTAGTGTTTTAATGACCGTTCCACAGGTGCATGTTCATTAATTGTTTATGGTTCATTGAACAAGCATGGGAAACAGTGTTTAAACCCTTTACAATGATGATCTGTGAAGTTATTTGGATTTTTACGAATTATCTTTGAAAGATAGGGTCCTGAAAAAGGGACGTTTCTTTTTTTGCTCAGTTTATATTCACATGCATGTATTCCTACTACACTGAACAAAAATATAAAACGCAACATGCAACCATTTCAATGATTTTACTGAGGGAATCAGTCAATTTAAATATACATTCATTAGGCCCTAATCTATTGATTTCACATGATACAGATATGCATCTGTTGGTCACAGATACCTTTAAAAAAAAAAAAAGGGCCTCAGGATCTCGTCACGTTATCTCTGTGCATTGAAATTGCCATCGATAAAACGCAATTGTGTTTGTTGTCCGTAGCTTATGCCTGCCCATACCATAACCCGACCGCCACCATGGGGCACTCTGTTCACAACGTTGACATCAGCAAACCGCTCGCCCACACAACGCCATACACGTGGTTGTGAGGCCAGTTGGACGTACTGACAAATTCTCCAAAACGACGTTGGAGGCGGCTTATGGTAGAGAAATTAACATTCAATTCTCTGGCAACAGCTCTGGTGGACATTCCTGCAGTCAGCATGCCAATTGCACGCTCCCTCAAAACTTGAGACATTGTGTTGTGTTACAAAACTGCACATTTTAGAGTGGCCTTTTATTATCCCCAGCACAAGGTGCACCTGTGTAATGTAATGATCAAGCTGTTTAATCAGCTTCTTGATATGCCACACCTGTCAGGTGGATGGATTATCTTGGCAAAGGAGAAATGCTCACTAACAGGGATGTAAACAAATTTGTGCACATCATTTGGGAGAAATAAGCTTTATGTGCGTATGGAAATTGTCAGGGATCTTTTATTTCAGCTCATGAAACATGGGACCAACACTTTACATGTTACGTTTATATTATTCCCATGCGTGTATTGGCCCTCCAACACCAGAAGGAGACCTGTACTGGCCCTCCAACACCACTCTCAGCAGCAACCTGATCTTCCCAGGAAGCATTCCATCTAGTTCGCCCATGTTTACCCAGGCCCAACGTAGCCTTCAGAGAAAAGCCAGCATGGGGATGCATGGTGTTATGGCTGCAGTGCATGTGTCACACAACAATGACAGCTTGAAGGCTGGTTTCCCAGACAGATAAAGCCCTGGACTAAAAAGCAAGCGAATCTCCATTGGAAATACTCTAGTCCAAGATTAGGCTTAATCTGCGTCCGGGAAACCAGTCCGTAATGTATAAATCAAGAGAACGTACCCTCCATGATCCTGGCACAGATCTCAGCCCCCACTCCGTACTGGGGCCAGCCCCCCTCCACTGTGACCAGATGGCCGGTCTTGATCACACTGGCCTCAATGGTGTCCACATCCAGAGGCCTTATAGTGCGCAGATTAACCACCTGGCAAGGGGAAGGGGACAGAACTTTTAAAAGAAAAAAACAAAAAAACAACGGAAGTCTTTTGTACATCTATTAGATCGAGAGGTGATAGGTAAGAGAGAGCACTGAAAGAGCAGTGAGACGGATTGAACTGATGCTGGCAGCGTTCCAATGTCCATGTGCTCCAGAAGCAGTGGCTTGGGACTGCTACACCACCGTAGGACACATGTACAATTTCAAACTTTGAAATTTAAATACAAAATCGCCTGACTCGAACCTCAATCCAGACCGTATTTACAAGCGTAGATGTATGTATTCAACCATAGTCAAAACTTCAGCAAGCGCAGTGGGAGTTTCTAGAGGTTAAAAGTTAATACAAATCTGTTGTTTTTGAACACATACCTAAAGGCGACACTCACCTCACATTCAACTCCCTCTTTAGCCAGGAAGGCCGCTGCGTCCAGGCAGAAACCCACACACCGGGAATGTGACACTAGAGTGATGTGAGTTCCTGACGAAAAACACACAATGGTTGAGTACAACATTTTGTACAGTGCCTTCAGAAAGTAGTCCTACCTGGACCTATTCCACATTCTGTTGGGTTACAGCCTGAATTCAAAATATATTATTTCCTCACCCATCTACACACAATACTGACAAATGGCAAATGTATTTAAAAAGAAAACACAGAAATAATTAACATACAGTGAGGGAAAAAAGTATTTGATCCCCTGCTGATTTTGTAAGTTTGCCCACTGACAAAGACATGATCAGTCTATAATTTTAATGGTAGGTTTATTTGAACAGTGAGAGACAGAATAAAAACAAAAAAATCCAGAAAAACGGATGTCAAAAATGTTATAAATTGATTTGCATTTTAATGAGGGAAATAAGTATTTGACCCCCTCTCAATCAGAAAGATTTCTGGCTCCCAGGTGTCTTTTATACAGGTAACGAGCTGATATTAGGAGCACACTCTTAAAGGGAGTGCTCCTAATCTCAGCTTGTTACCTGTATAAAAGACACCTGTCCACAGAAGCAATCAATCAATCAGATTCCAAACTCTCCACCATGGCCAAGACCAAAGAGCTCTCCAAGGATGTCAGGGACAAGATTGTAGACCTACACAAGGCTGGAATGGGCTACAAGACCATCGCCAAGCAGCTTGGTGAGAAGGTGACAACAGTTGGTGCGATTATTCGCAAATGGAAAAATAACTGTCAATCTCCCTCGGCCTGGGGCTCCATGCAAGAGCTCACCTCGTGGAGTTGCAATGATCATGAGAACGGTGAGGAATCAGCCCAGAACTACACGGGAGGATCTTGTCAATGATCTCAAGGCAGCTGGGACCATAGTCACCAAGAAAACAATTGGTAACACACTACGCAGTGAAGGACTGAAATCCTGCAGCGCCCGCAAGGTCCCCCTGCTCAAGAAAGCACATATACAGGGCCGTCTGAAGTTTGCCAATGAACATCTGAATGATTCAGAGGAGAACGAGGTGAAAGTGTTGTGGTCAGATGAGACCAAAATCGAGCTCTTTGGCATCAACTCAACTCACCATGTTTGGAGGAGGAGGAATGCTGCCTATGACCCCAAGAACACCATCCCCACCGTCAAACATGGAGGTGGAAACATTATGCTTTGGGGGTGTTTTTCTGCTAAGGGGACAGGACAACTTCACCGCATCAAAGGGACGATGGACGGGGCCATGTACCGTCAAATCTTGGGTGAGAACCTCCTTCCCTCAGCCAGGGCATTGAAAATGGGTCGTGGATGGGTATTCCAGCATGACAATGACCCAAAAAACACGGCCAAGGCAACAAAGGAGTGGCTCAAGAAGAAGCACATTAAGGTCCTGGAGTGGCCTAGCCAGTCTCCAGACCTTAATCCTATAGAAAATCTGTGGAGGGAGCAGAAGGTTCGAGTTGCCAAATGTCAGCCTTGAAACCTTAATGACTTGGAGAAGATCTGCAAAGAGGAGTGGGACAAAATCCCTCCTGAGAGTTGTGCAAACCTGGTGGCCAACTACAAGAAACGTCTGACCTCTGTGATTGCCAACAAGGGTTTTGCCACCAAGTACTAAGTCATGTTTTGCAGAGGGGTCAAATACTTATTTCCCTCATTAAAATGCAAATCAATTTATAACATTTTTGACATGTGTTTTTGACATTTTTTTGTTGTTATTCTGTCTCTCACTGTTCAAATAAACCTACCATTAAAATTACTAAATCAGCAGGGGATCAAATACTTTTTTCACCTCACTGTATGTATTCACACCCTTGAGTCAATACTTTGTAAAAAGCACCCTTGGCAGCGATTACAGCTGTGAGTCTTTCTGGGTAAGTCTCTAAGAGATTTCCACACCTGGATTCTGCAACATTTGCCCATTATTCTTTTCAGAATTGTTCAAGTTATGAAGGTTGCCTGTATCTTTGTAGTGACTGGGTGTATTGATACACCATCCAAAGTGTAATTATTAACTTCACCATGCTCAAAGGGATATTCAATGTCGGCTTTTTTAAATGTTTACCCATCTACAAATAGGTGCCCTTCTTTGCGAGGCATTGGAAAACCTCCCTGGTCTTTGTGGTTGAATCCGTGTTTGAAATTCACTGCTCGACTGAGGGACCTTACAGATCATTGTATGTGTGGGGTACAGAGATGAGGTAGTCGTTCAAAAATAATTATTAAACACTATTATTGCACCCATAACTTATGTGACTTGTTAAGCACATTTTTACTCCTGAACTTATTTAGGCTTGCCATAACAAAGGGGTTGAATACTTATTGACTCAAGACATTTCAGCTTTTAATTTTTAATGAATATGTAAAAATAAAAACATAATTCCCCTTTGACATTATGGTGTATTGTGTGTAGGCCAGTGACACAATCTAAATTTAATCAATTTTAAATTCAGGCTGTAACAACAAAATGTGGAAAAAGTCAATGGGTGTGAATACTTTCTGAAGGCACTGTATCTATCTGTAACACTGACTGTATCCCAAATTGCACCCTATTCCCTATAGTGCACTACTTTAGACCAGATTTGGGACGCAGCTTATGTAGATCTCAATAAGCCATAATGAAAAATGTGTGTTTACCAACAATGCTACATCTGAAGCTATTTTCAATGAAATTCTCAATTATCTTTCACAATGAAATTCTCAATTATCTCAATTAAATTCTCAATGAAATTCTCTCAATGTTATAACAGAGGATGTTACAATTTACATTTACATTATTTTAAAAAATCGAATAAACATTCCTTTTCTCCAGCTCTTATTACTGACATTTACATTTCAGTCATTTAGCAGACGCTCTTATCCAGAGCGACTTACAGGAGCTCAAGGGCACATCGACAGATTTTTCACCTAGTCGGCTCGGGGATTAGAACCAGCGACCTTTCGGTTACTGGCACAACGCTCTTAACCACTAAGCCACCTGCCGCCTCTTACCTTGTCTTTCCACCTTGGCCTTTCCAATAGGTACGACAAAGTCTTTATGCATGACCTCCTCAGACAGCTCGAAGGGAACACCATACATCAACTCATTCTCCAGGAACACCACTGTTGGGAGAAAAAATAAATAAAAGGGTTTTGATTAGCAAGCGTCACCATGGTTACAGCACAGGAACTTAAATGTCTATACCACCGGACATCAGCAGATCTACAGCGATCCCCCTCATCTACACCCCAGGACATCATCAGATCTACAGTGATCCCCTCATCTACACTACAGGACATCAGCAGATCTACAGTGATCCCCCTCATCTACACTACAGGACATCAGCAGATCTACAGTGATCCCCTCATCTACACTACAGGACATCAGCAGATCTACAGTGATCCCCCTCATCTACACTACAGGACATCAGCAGATCTACAGTGATCCCCTCATCTACACTACAGGACATCAGCAGATCTACAGTGATCCCCTCATCTACACTACAGGACATCAGCAGATCTACAGTGATCCCCCTCATCTACACTACAGGACATCAGCAGATCTACAGTGATCCCCTCATCTACACTACAGGACATCAGCAGATCTACAGTGATCCCCTCATCTACACTACAGGACATCAGCAGATCTACAGTGATCCCCTCATCTACACTACAGGACATCAGCAGATCTACAGTGATCCCCCTCATCTACACTACAGGACATCAGCAGATCTACAGTGATCCCCTCATCTACACTACAGGACATCATCAGATCTACAGTGATCCCCCTCATCTACACTACAGGACATCAGCAGATCTACAGTGATCCCCTCATCTACACTACAGGACATCAGCAGATCTACAGTGATCCCCTCATCTACACTACAGGACATCATCAGATCTACAGTGATCCCCCTCATCTACACTACAGGACATCAGCAGATCTACAGTGATCCCCCTCATCTACACTACAGGACATCATCAGATCTACAGTGATCCCCTCATCTACACTACAGGACATCAGCAGATCTACAGTGATCCCCCTCATCCTCGACCTGGGACCACCTTCTGCAAGGAATCATGGAAAGGCAAAATGGACCCTAGTCCCCCAAAAGTAGTGTGCTATATAGGGAATAGGGTGCCATTTGGGATGCAGGTTATTGCTCACCAGGGTTATCGTCTCTGATAGATGCTTTGAGGAGACCTCTGGCGTCCTCGGAGTTCCAGGGGCTGACTACTTTGAGGCCGGGGCAGTGGCCGTACCAGGCAGCGAAGCACTGGGAGTGTTGGGCTGCAACGCCTGCAGACAGAGGAACCAAAATAACAGGACATTACAACTATCCCAGAAAGAAAATAAAAAAAGGAGCTCTGGTGTCTGTTACCCAATCCTGGTCCTGGGGACCCAAAGGGATGCACGTCTGTGTTTGTGCCCTAGCACTAAGACACTTAATTCAACTAAATCATTTCATTTTCATTTTGTTTGTTAACAGGTGTGTTAGTGCTGGGGCAAAAACTAAAATGTGCACCCTTGAGTCCCCAGGACCCGGATTGGGAAACACTGGCATTGATGTTTGTTTATTTACCTGCGGAGGAGCCGTTGGGGCCGCGGAACACAATGGGGACAGGCTGCGCTCCGGCTGACATGTAGTAGGTCTTAGCAGCTGAGTTGATCACCTGGTCGATGGCTTGCATGGAGAAGTTCCAGGTCATGAACTCACAGATCGGCCTCAGCCCTGCCTGGAAACACAGGGGGAGAAGATGGCTGAGTCCTATATCGTTTACTGTTCACTAGGACCCATAAGGCTCTGGGCAAAAGTAGTGCACTACGTAGGGAATAGGGTTCCATTTAGTATGCACACAATGATAAGTCTCATCTTCCTACCATGATCAGACATTCAAATTGTTTGGGAAAATCTACCATTTAAACTTGATTTGAGGGGTTAGTGAAGATATGCTTGTACAATGTTACTTTCTATAGGAATAGGACATTTCCATAAATGCCATAATAATAATAATAACACTAATAATACAAATACTAATAATACTAACACTAATAATAATAATACTACTACTAACACTAATAATAATAATACTACTAACACCAATAATAATAATACTACTAATACTACTACTAATAATAATACTACTACTAACACCAATAATAATAATAATACTACTAACACTAATAATAATAATACTACTAACACCAATAATAATACTACTACTAATACTACTACTAATAATAATACTACTACTAACACCAATAATAATAATAATACTACTAACACTAATAATAATAATACTACTAACACTAATAATAATACTACTATTAATACTACTACTAATAATAATACTACTACTAACACCAATAATAATAATAATACTACTAACACTAATAATAATAATACTACTAACACCAATAATAATACTACTACTAATACTACTACTAATAATAATACTACTACTAATAATAATAATACTACTAACACTAATAATAATAATACTACTAACACCAATACTAATACTACTACTAATACTACTACTAATAATAATACTACTACTAACACCAATAATAATAATAATAATACTACTAACACTAATAATAATAATACTACTAACACCAATAATAATACTACTACTAATACTACTACTAATAATAATAATACTACTACTAACACCAATAATAATAATAATACTACTAACACTAATAATAATAATAATACTAACACTAATAATAATAATAATAATAACAATACTAATTGACTTACGAATGCAGCACCAACGGCGATGCCTGCAAAGCCCATCTGTAAGGGGAGAAAATGCATCTGTTACAACATGTTCTAGAGCCCCATTACATTTAGGGCCACAACATGTTCTAGAGACCCATTACATTTAGGGCCACAACATGTTCTAGAGCCCCATTACATTTAGGGCCACAACATGTTCTAGAGCCCATTACATTTAGGGCCACAACATGTTCTAGAGCCCCATTACATTTAGGGCCACAACATGTTCTAGAGCCCATTACATTTAGGGCCACAACATGTTCTAGAGCCCCATTACATTTAGGGCCACAACATGTTCTAGAGCCCCATTACATTTAGGGCCACAACATGTTCTAGAGCCCATTACATTTAGGGCCACAACATGTTCTAGAGCCCATTACATTTAGGGCCACAACATGTTCTAGAGCCCCATTACATTTAGGGCCACATACAGAAACAACAAATAAAAACCAGCGTTGTCTTATTTCCAGTGTGTGTGTCTTTACCTCCGTGATCGGAGTGTCGATGATCCGCTTGTCTCCATATTTCTTCCACAGTCCCCTGCTCACCTACAAATTCACCAGTCAGGAGAAATAAACACCAATCAAGTAGTCAAAATTAGCAGTTTGAACAAAATACATTTCAAATATATTGTAATGATAATATCATAGAACAAAATACATATACAAAATATACATTTAACAAATATAGAGAAAATATCATAGAACAAATATACTGAACATAAATATAAATGGAACCATTTCATTGATTTTACTGAGTTCATGTGAGGAAATCAGTCAATTTAAATAAATAAATGATGCCCTAATCTATGGATTCACGACTGAGAACACATTTGCATCTGTTGGTCACAGATACCTCAAAAAAAAAAAGGGCCTCTGTATCTCGTCACGGTATTTCTGTGCATTCAAATCGCCATCGATAAAATGCAATTGTTTTTGTTGCCTGCCCATACCATAACCCCACCATGGGGCACTCTGTTCACAACGTTGACATCAGCAAACCGCTCGCCCACACAACGCCTTTCATGTGGTCTGCAGTTGTGAGGCCGGTTGGACATACTGCCAAATTCTTTCAAATTACATTGAGGTGGCTTATGGTAGAGAAATTAACGTTCAATTCTCCGGCAACAGCTCTGGTGGACATTCCTGCAGTCAACATGCCAACCGCTCACGCTCCCTCAAAACTCTAGACATTTGTGGCATTGTGTTGTGTGACAAAACTGCACATTTTAGAGTGGCCTTTTATTGTCCCAAGCACAAGGTGCACCTGTGTAATGATCATGCTGTTTAATATGCCACACCTGTCAGGTGGAATAAGCTTTTTGTGCATATGGAAAATGTCTAGGATCTTTAATTTCAGCTCATGAAACATGGGACCAACACTTTACATGTTGCATTTATATTTTTGTTTAGTGTATATTTATTTTTTAAACTACTTTTTTGAAATCTGCATCCCTATTTGCATGTAGTTTGTCATTGTGTATTCATACTTTGTAAGCTCCATCATACTGGGCCACCTCCTCCCCCAGAAGGAAGACCCGCTCATCCCTCTCCAGCTCCTCATCCATGGCCTGGTTGAGGGCATCTCGGACGTTCACCTGAAACAGAGACATACACGACGTGACTATACAAAAATGACTTGACAATAAAGATAGATTTATTTTATATAGCGCTTTTCTTTACAAGCAGAATCTCAGTCGCTTTAAAAGATCAAAACAAGTGCAGAGCCCGGGGTCATGCAGTAATGGGGTCCTGCAGTAACGGGCTCTAGACATACACTCTTCTCCCCACCAGAGACCGGGATTCAACCCCATCTCCAAAACGTCATACTGTTTCTCTCATCTCTGTCTACCGCTATGTGATTTCATAGCTGTTTTAATAAAGTGGGGATGGTGTTAGGATCCTTGGGGGTGTTCTTGGGGGATGGTGTTAGGATCCTTGGGGGTGTTCTTGGGGGATGGTGTTAGGATCCTTGGGGGTGTTCTTGGGGGATGGTGTTAGGATCCTTGGGGGTGTTCTTGGGGGATGGTGTTAGGATCCTTGGGGGTGTTCTTGGGGGATGGTGTTAGGATCCTTGGGGGTGTTCTTGGGGGATGGTGTTAGGATCCTTGGATGTGTTCTTGGGGGATGGTGTTAGGATACTTGGGGGTGTTCTTGGGGGATGGTGTTAGGATCCTTGGGGGTGTTCTTGGGGGATGGTGTTAGGATCCTTGGGGGTGTTCTTGGGGGGTGGTGTTCGGTGGTTGAGGGTTTCTTGGGGGGTGGTGTTAAGGGTTTTTGGGGGTGTTCTTGGGGGGTGGTGTTAAGGATTCTTGGGGGTGTTCATGGGGGGTGGTGTTCCACAGCAGATGAAGATAGGCAGTTCAGAATGGCAGTAGTATCTTGAGCGGAGATATGACATACATTTGACTACATACAAAAATGACATACATGTGACTACAATAAATGACATACACGAAACGGTGACCCAGACTACTCAAAAATGACAGATTTGATTACATACAAGATTAAATACATTTGACACTTGAATAAATGGCAGATGTGGCTACTGCTAGCTAAAATGAGGACAAAACGGCAGTTGACCTAAAAACTATAAGTCGTTCAATCTTCTCGGTGTAACAGTTGGGATTATGGGACAGTTTGGAGTACAAGCCATTTCTAAACAGTGGATTGAGGTACGTTTTCCAAAACATTTCTCCTGCAGGGTCTGCGGTGTCTTAATCTACGAACCCCGAGTGCAGCTGTTTGTGAGCGGGTCGGATCTATTGGCTAAGGTCAGGTCCTAGACATCCCACATGAATACAACGTTCATCATACGCCGTGAGCTGGTTAACATTTCATGATTTCTTGAGTCTATGCGTTACCATATAAACTATTCACTGCTTTTCTTAACAACATAATTGCTCGTAGTGAACACAGCTGACAGTTGCAGTGAAGGTTATTAGCTAGCTAGCTAGATTAGCAAAGATGCTAGCTAGTTCTCACCTGCACAGCCACCGGAGAGGTCTTGCTGAACTCTCTTCGCAGGACCACCGAGACGGCACTCTACACAAGACAAGACAGAAAAGGGCTCTCATTAATGTCTCATCCTTATTTGAACAATATAATTGTCTGAACTTTGAATTAAAGTGTATAAATACCTTCCCGGATCGAAGAAAACACCTCAACGACGCCATCTTTGACCTGTCCTCTGTGTGGGAGGAGCGATTTGTCCTGGAAAAGGATATGGTCCAATCAGAGCGTTTCTTGGCGAGTCAGTCGAGGGCAACCGGTGTCGAAAACCAATCACGACTATTCTCATGGAAAGGAAGCGGAAGAACTCTGAGCGACTGGGAAAATCCAAGGGCAAAAGCAAAAAAGCAGCAGAATCACCAGCTTTTTGCATCCGAACGATATCTATTTTGTTTTACAAAAAAAACAGCCAACTACTCGTAAATGTAGAATAGCAGAGGTGTTATTCCGATATTTGTGCGCAGCTGCCACTTTAGATTGACAATGCTGAAGTTTCTGATGTAGCCTAGCATAGCCCAGACTAGAGACAGTGATGACGCTGACAGCTACCACCAGAGACTGTATTTACATAGCAGGCTCAAAACACTAATCATATTTAGACATATGACGTTTGTATGTACATACCATAGTTGGACAGCACACAGGCTATCAAACCTGTCAGTTCTGTGCAGAGAAACTCATTAGACACTAGAAAGTGCATGTGAAGGTTGCTAGGAGACTTAGGTCCTGTGATGTGTTTTTTGTAGGGATCGTTACCTGTGGGGTGTCAAGTTACTTTACTACTGACAGAACTATACATTTCTATCCACTAAAATAACACGCAGAGCAAAGAGTACCACAAACCACACATTTCAGTCCATGATTTTAATAAAATAAGTATAATACGGCAATGTAGATAACATTGGATTGTTTTTAAGACACAGCTGTGCAGGGTCAAACATACAAACCCCAAACAGTTATGGATTTTAATGTTTTAATGCAGCAGACGGACAAAATATGTTTCATACAACCCCCCCCACCCAAACTCAAAAAGAGTTTGGAAAATATTAGTAACTTCATCTTAAAGTGCAGTCATCTTCAATCATAAAATACTTTTGTTTTCCTGTCAACATGTTGTTACTCCATACTGCCAAAAGGCGGTATAGTATTTACTTGAAAACTCCATATTCAGCAGTGCAAATCAGAAAGGTTGGCAGCCAGCGATGATGGATTGGAGAAACGGCTGCCAAATGAACACAGAATTAATGTCATACTGAAGCCTCACTCAGACCCTGAACTGGACAAACAGAGCGAGAGAGGTGGAATTGGATAAAATGACATAATGGAGGGGAAATGTATTCTGGGTATTGTTACATAGAAGTGCTCACCACTGTTGGTGATGTAAAGAGCTGGTAACAATAAGCAAGAGATATTATTAAAACTCGATGGCTGCGTTTTCACAGGCAGCACAGTTCTTATTTTTTTGCCCAATTATTGGCAAAGGATCTGATCTGATTGGTCAAAATACAAATTATTGGCAAAAGATAAGAATTGGGCGGCCTGTGTAAACGCAGCCAATTAGTAATTGTCCTGAATGTATCAATCTTCAGAACAGGTTAATCTTGTAAATGTTGACAAGACAAAGCATTTCAGACAGTTCTGCAGATTGTAACTTTGCTTTTCAGACAGAATGAGGGTGTCCCTTCAGTGCCTCTGACAGTGGTTGAATGTAGCAGAGGTACATGATGGTCAACGTCAGATTGTGACGATCAATAACAGTTTGACAAACAGATTAGCAAAATTAACTCATTTCAGGATTAGGATTATTTATTGTAAACACCAGAATCCATTCAGATACATTCTCCCAGTAAACTGCTCACAGTTGTGTGTCAATCCTGGATCATTGAGAAAACCCCTCCCTATCGGTAAAGTGCAGCAGAGAAATGGTCAATTCTTCAACAACTTTACACTGCTATTTTGGAGAGGAAAAGGCAAAACAATCTTTTAAAAGGTATTTGAATCTTAACTTGTTACTGATTTAATACCAGTAAGTACAGTATGTCATATCATTTGGGTTAATTATTTTGCATACTGAATGATGACAGATTTCTGGTGGTCCTCATTTACTAAACAAGCGGCCATGGGTAATCTGGGAGGTTTTAATCCTTGCAGCATCCATGATTTTTGAATCTATGTGTGCGTTTGAAATGGCACCCTATTCCCTATATAGCGCACTACTACTAAGTAGTGCACTATAAAGGAAACGGGATGCCATTTGGGAAGCAGACCAGGTATTGACGCAGGCACAGAGATGAATGTGGCACATAGACGTAAGCAACACAGACAGTCCAACAGCATCACATCTCCTTCCATTCATTCCAAGACAACAAAAAGCGAAGAGGAAAAAAATAAAGAATACAGATACGATAAACATTGAAGTACACAACTGTCCAAATTCAATACACATAATACAGACTGACAGTTCTTTCATTTTGTCGTCTCACTGTGGTCGAAACTGACAGTTCTTTCATAGTCGCTGTTGGTTGGTGGATGTCAGGTCAGAGTCCCAGTCCCTCTGAAACACGTGTGGTTCATGTGCTTGCTTTCTGAATCACTTCCCTCACAGTTGCTTGTACGTTCCATTCAGGTCATTTCGCTGGATTGACAAATAAGGGTTGGTAAATAAAAAGAAACACGCTCCACTGAAATCATCAGTCATTCACTGCAGTCCACCAGATAGACACCAGACTTGGCTGATGCCACCTCATCTTTAAATCCCCCTTTAAACCACCTGTAGAGTCCACTGACCAGTCATTTTAAACCACCTGTAGAGTCCACTGACCAGTCATTTTTGTGCTAAAGGGAGAACCAACCAGGCGGCTCTATTGGACAGGAGTTGATGCCCCGTCCCCTACCTCAAACCTTAAAGGGCCGGGGCTGGGGGTTAACTCATCGGACGGGAACGAAATTTAGAAGCAAAAAAACTAAAGGAGCAAAAAAGTGAATGAGCAGGACGACAGGTAACCTTTAGGGGTGGCTCGAACCACAGGGTCAGGATGACAGGTAACCTTTAGGGGTGGCTCGAACCACAGGGTCAGGATGACAGGTAACCTTTAGGGGTGGCTCGAACCACAGGGTCAGGATGACAGGTAACCTTTAGGGGTGGCTGGGACCACAGGGTCAGGATGACAGGTAACCTTTAGGGGTGGCTCGAACCACAGGGTCAGGATGACAGGTAACCTTTAGGGGTGGCTGGGACCACAGGGGGAGGATGACAGGTAACCTTTAGGGGTGGCTCGAACCACAGGGTCAGGATGACAGGTAACCTTTAGGGGTGGCTCGAACCACAGGGTCAGGATGACAGGTAACCTTTAGGGGTGGCTGGGACCACAGGGGGAGGATGACAGGTAACCTTTAGGGGTGGCTCGAACCACAGGGTCAGGATGGCAGGTAACCTTTAGGGGTGACTCGAACCACAGGGTCAGGATGACAGATAACCTTTAGGGGTGGCTCGAACCACAGGGTCAGGATGAGAAGGATGAGCGATACTCTTCAGAGTGTTGGATGTTGGGGTCGACGGTCACTGCTTTCTTCAGTTTGCCTATACTGAATGACGTGATGGAGCTGAGGAGGGCACCACGCCCCACACCGTTAGCAGGAGGAGGACCTGACCCAAGGGGAGGAGGATGTGGAGGGGCGTGGGACTGGCCAGGATTAGCACTTGGAGGAGGTAGAGGAGGAGGTGGTGGCGGTGGCGGTGGTGCAACTCCTACATCAACAAGAAATCAACTGTTAGAACACAGAGTGGTAGTCTTATGTAGAAGAATACATCAATATATATTTTTTCTGTAACAGTGTTTCCAATCCCATCAACAATACCACCACCAAAGGATCACAATCTGCAATGTACACTGGAGCTTCAAGCAGTGTTTGAGCCTCCAAGGGTTATCTGTGCAAAACGTTTGTTGGAGGTGGACAATATCCATGACAATGGTGAAAATAAATATCCCAAAAAAAGGAATAACCATTAATGTGTGGATCATTGCAGATTGTGACTTTTTAAAGTTGCAGACACCCTTTTACCAAGCAAGCAAAGGCAAATCAATGCAGGGAGATGAAATAAAATAAATATTTAAATTAAATTGTAACTACTAATCTTTGATGTTTAAGTGAGCAGAAATCTGAAGAAGGTTGGTGTTAGAGAAGTTGAAAGACCTTTACAGCAACTGACATCTCACTATTACAAAACGGATGTAATTTACTACGTTAATCAAGATTATGTCATCTAGAATAGGTTCTAGGTTTTATAGTATAAAGCTCTAAAATATTTCCATAATTAAAGATATGGTTCCTGCAAAACAATACGTTTCTCCGTTAGTATTCATTTATTTTGCTTTCATCTCGTTTTTTTTCTCTGAGCAACGTCATTCCATCCTTCTACTATGAGACATGCCAAACTACAGTGGTACAGAGACAGTCCTGTATTGTGGTGTACTTGCTGTGATTCAGGGGGCGACTACAGCTTTAAAAAACATATAGGAATCATTATTGATTTACTTTACCCCACACATGTTCAAAATGGTGCATGCTCTACTTGGCAGACAGACAGCAAAAGGGAGGAAAAGAGAGATAGATGGATTACTGTTATTGGTCATTGGTTCCTTGAGAGTTCAATCAATACTACTGTTAATCAAAACTAAAAGCTCATTATTTACAGTATGTTGTGATTACTGATTAGCTGAGTGGAAAATGAATAAGTATGAAAACAAGAAGAAGAAAAATAACGTTGACGTATGACCAGAATAACTACAATATTATCACATGATGACATGAGGACGAAGACATTAAAAACACCTTTAAAGTAACCAGTCAGCTTCACCAGCTAAAACGAATAACATTACTAGTCTAATATACAGTGTGGTTGTTGAAAATATACACCATGCATACAAATGCAATCTTCCTTGTAATCACAGGCAATAACATTACATTTACATTTTAGTCATTTAGCAGACGCTCTTATCCAGAGCGACTTACAGTTAGTGAGTGCCTACATTATGTTTTTCATACTGGCCCCCCGTGGGAATCGAACCCACAACCCTGGTGTTGCAAAAACCACGCTCTACCAACTGAGCTACATCCCTGCCGGCCATTCCCTCCCCTACCCTGGACCAATTATTCGCCGCCCCATGGGGTCTCCCGGTCGCGGCCGGCTACGACAGAGGATCTCTAGTGGCACAGCTAGCACTACGATGCAGCGCCTTAGACCACTGCGCCACTCGGGAGGTTATTATTACATTGTCATGCTTTTGGTTTAGAAGTTAAGACATCATGAAGAGACATGAATCATAAAAAATTAATTTAAAAAAAGTCTCAAACTGTCTCCATCTAACCTTCTAACACCATGTATGGTGTATCTATTCTCTATAACCATTTGATTGCCTCTTTCTGTCTTACCACAAGGGGGAGCACCACCACCATATGGAACACTGCTAAGACATGGTTACAAACGCAACACAGACCTCATGCACATCACTGAAGAGGAACTACTACTCCCATCAGCCATCAGTATTGGAACTACTACTCCCATCAGCCATCAGTATTGGAACTACTACTCCCATCAGCCATCAGTATCAGATGGGCAGGGTGCTGACTGATTTCAAAGCTGCCAGAGTTATAGTCTATGTGAACCTGAGGGTCTGGTATTTACCATACAGTTATAGTCTAGGTCCTGGTACA